CCAGGAGTTCGAAGATGCTGCGTAACCTGGTTCAATATTGTCAATCAGGTTGCTAAGTTCCTAAGCAGCATTTGACACTCACATGAGACTCATTTTAACTCAAATTATACTGAAGTCGATTTGTGTGCTTAGCTCAAGTAGAACTCAAACGCATTCTCTTGGTTGCCAACTATATTAAAATAATATAGCCAAGGAACATGCTTTGCGAAAAGCATCACGAAAAGCTGCAAGCATCGCGGTCGTCGTCGAAGTGTGACCTGGACAACCGAGAACTTTGGGCAGAAATCTACTCTTGCGATGGTTGGACGCGGCTGAAAACTTTGGTGTCCTTTTATCTGTCGATTGATGCTGGGACATGCGAACTGGAGAGAAACCTGGGCAAGCTGAAGCATCTCAGCGACACGCACTCTACTGAGAGCGTCTCAGACTTGCAGCGAGCCTTGGAAATCCTGCTGGATGGGCCAGTTGCCGAAGAGCTGTTTGAGCGCAAGCTTCCTTCCAGCCCGAGCAGCATCGACCTCCGCGGCAACCTCGTGCCTATGCTTTCGCAGTCGCAACCCTTGCTCTTGCTCAATGACGCATCGCGAGAGCTTTGCAAAGCCTGGGTGGAATGTTTTGGCAGACGTTTTCACGTTTACAAGACTCGGTCGGACAAGGGCACCAAGCGAGGGCATACAAAGGGATCAGAAGCATATTTAATCTGTGCCCAGCAAAGGGTCCGTGATGCTATGGTGGCAAAACAGACGACAGACAAGAAGTTGTTGTCGAAGTCGCGGTCGAAGTTTGCACAGCCGAACCTGTCCAGCAGGGACGTGGTGAATCACAGGCTTTACACCAAGGACATCGAGCGCTTTCAGAAGCACACTGCGGAAATCAAGACTAAGAACCAGGAGACAGCTACTGCAGCCAGACGTGGTACCGATCCGTTCGTTCCAGGCCTTGTTTTGATTACTTGGGTTGTTAAGGGATTTCTCTGACTGCACTTCTGAATTCTGTCAGCTAATTTGTATTAATAATTTCACGTGGATTTCATGACGCCCTTTCCAGGCCCGGAGCGACCGGGAAAACTTTTCCATAAGAGCGCTGTGGAATCCACCCTGGAAGCCGGAAAACTGGTCGCAGTCGATCTCTGTGAGTTGGCAGTGACGAGCCACCACCGGAGCAAGATCCTGAGGCCTGGCACCACATGGTCTGGCGGATCTCTACTGGACAGTGTCAAAAGCTGCTGTGTGGTTGTTTTAGATGACCTGAGCGATGTGAACTACACTCAGTGGCTCGACTGCTGCTGTATAGTTAGTTTAAATGTCGTTCTAATCAACTTTTTTCTGAAATCATATTTAATATACTATAGTATAATTAAATAATAATACTGCCCGTTTCAACCAAGGTGCAGCATGAAGCTCAAGGTGGTGCTCGCGGTCGTGGCTTTGGGTCGTGGCTTCATGGCTAGGCAGCAGTGGGAAACTGCTGAGACAGAGCGTGTGCTGAAAACCAGATGTGTGCTCTGCCTTTCCAGCCTCACTTCGAAGTCGTTGACCATTGTGATGCACCATGTGTTTGAGGAGAAGCATGCATCCATGGCTCGATTCATCCGTCTTTTGGTGGAGCTTCCTGGGGGGAAATGGAAGATCGTCTCCGAGAAAGAAAAGGAGATTCCGAGGACGGCTTTGCACTTGAGGAAAGTGGCTGATGTCACACGCTTGGTGTTGGAAGCACAAATCATGGCTGACGGCTCCATCAATGCCGGCTTCCTGCAGGCGAGATGATGGCGAGGTTGGGGTCGCGGTCGTAGTATGTCCAGTTCATCGACAGGATGCCGACAACGAGGAAGGAGGGTGCCGGCAACTGATTCTGTAGGCTGAAATTATAGAATATCGTAGTCGTAAACACATTTGCAGGCTTTAGTATCAATGATTCCTGATGTCGTCGTCGTATTCGGAGTTGTAACACTAGGAAGCTTTAGAATCAATTCAATGACTGATATCAGCCTGCAGGATTGGTGGCTGTTTGCGAGATCTCAGATGTTGGGGCCAAGCATCGCAGAAAAGAGAGCTTGCTAGTT